TTCATATGGTCTCTGTCCTCACTACTCAATTTGCTGTGTTTTCCCGAAAATAAGACGGGGACTTATATTTATTTTTCCTCAAGAAGACACCCGAGGGCTTATTTTCAGGGGTTGTGTTATTTTTTTTAAGTACTGTACAACAATCTATATTTATTCAAATATAGTGAAGTCGTCTTCTTCTGGAACATCAAACTCTCCAAACCCGGAATTCCATCCTGAATTTCTTGCGACTCTATTTCCTTTAGAACCACTGGCCCCAACCTCTCATGTGGAGCACTAGAGCTTTCCTGGGGCAGATGGGAAGGGGGGCTCGTCTTCTTTCCTGCTCCGCGATGAAACGCACGGGCTGTGCAGATGCGCTGCGTGGCCACGCCCGTCACTAGGGCTTACTTTCAGGATAGGGCTTACATTGTGCAAATGCTTAGAAATCCTGCTAGGGCTTATTTTATGGGTAGGTCTTATTTTCGGGGAGACACGGTGCCCTTGAAGCAGAAAGGCAGCCATACACGGCATGCCGTGAATGGATGTAGCTGTGTCCCATTAAAATTTATTTACAAAAACAGGTAAGTGGCTCATACGCTATAGTTTGTATAGTTTGCCAGCCACTGAGGTTCCCAACACATTCAACTTTGTGCTATATGATTCCTTAACTCCTGCAGCTCTACCTCCAAAACTCCATTTTACTCTCCGTGACTATGATCACACGCCCCTCACCCTAAAAAATTCTCCAACCTCAAAAGTGGCCCTGATCACACCACAAACACCTCTTTCCAGCTGTCTCATCCTCCCTTTCACTCTGCCTGATATTTGGTCCTTGGAAATACACCATTTCATCGACCCTTTTATTTTCTCCATTTCTATTAGAATGCTCTGGCATCTCTTCCTCTCCTGAACTATCTTTTTATTAGACTCCTTAATTTCATTGTCGTTATATGGCATCTAGTAGTCAAATGTCCAGATGTGAATCAATTCCACAAATCTACCTGCTTTACCTTTACTCCTAGCCTGAATGCTGAGATTTGTATATAAATTCTCCTATTTTTTAGACCCGAGGTACCGTAATTATCTGGGTTTTAATCTCAGTTTGGTCCTGAAAATTGCTTATTAATTTCTTATTGACCTTGGCCATCCTTGCCTCTCATTTCCCTAAGTGATTATTTCAAACTTTTAGTAAGGTAGTCGGTTCTCAACTTAATTCCCACACCCTTATACTTAGCATAAGACCTTACCTCATACTTTACCTAAAAAATTGAGGTTATCAGGCATAAATTACCTCTAATTTCTGTACATCTCCGACCTCCGAACTTGTAGACCCACTTCAGCATTCATTTTTACCTTCTCACCTCCAATTTCCAAAATTTTTGAACAGCCACTAAAAATCAGTCACAATGCTGGGCTCTCGGAAGGCAATGAGAAATGAAATACAGTCCCATCTTCACAGAACCAAGCATTTGGTTTTTTCTAGGAACTTAATGTAGCTATCATTATCATTACTCTCTTCCAGATGTTAATATTCACTTTTTCTCTGCCCATCTTTTTCCTAGCTCCTTCCTTTCAAGCCTATAAATATATTCTGCTCTCCTTCATCTTAAAAAAATAAAAGCAACTGTCTACTCACCTGTGTGCTCTCTCAGCAAGCACCCTGTCGGTCTCCGCCTTCACAGTGGCGGTCATGCTCCGGTCTGCTTCATTGCACGAGGCCACCATTGATTCTCTAACGTAAAATTCAAGGAACCCCTCTGTCCTCATCTCAATGGCCTTCAGTTGCATTTGTCTCTGCCGATTTTCCTCGGTGGTCTCCTCCTCTTCTGGGGTAATGCACAATCTCTTTGTAGATAGGAAGGAAACTTGTAAAACTGGAAAAAAAAAAAAAAGCCAGTGTGGCTAGCGCATAAAAAAATTGATTGGTGGCACCTTCAAAGACTTAGTTATTTCCCATCTTCCAATACTTTGACTCCCAGACCCTACCCGAGAACGTCCGGAATTCTTAGCAAGTCATGAAAGGTCCTCAATGATTTGGTTCCTGTGTCTCTAGCACTGTCTCAGATTAATCTCATGCTGGTTTGGAACTTTCCCATGGCAAGTAAGAGAGAATTCAGTTCGAAGTGATGTAAATGATGAAAAGGATCCATGGGCCCGGGTTGATGAAGGTGATCAGGTTTGCCTGCGTCAGGCCTCCAGCTGTGAGTCTCTGCAGCCATGTGGCTTTGACCCCTCCACGTGGGCTTTCCCTCGGACTTGCAAGACAGCTGCTACAGCTGCGGCATCACATCTGTAAGGAAAAGTGTTCAGAGGAAGAGTCAGGATTCCGTCTGGGAGGTCTGTCTTAGGAGGAGGGCAGGCTGCTTTCCCCTGCAAGCTACTCCGCGGTGCTTTTTGGTGTGAGTTGACTTAGGCCTGCCCATCCTTGGACCAACATCCATGTCAAGAAGCATGCAGTAACTGGTCAGCTTTGGCTGCTCAGGGCCCATTCCTGGAGCTGAAGTCACTCTCAGACTGCGTGGCGAGAGGCCCGGGGAGAGGACAGCCTCAGAGCCGCTTCAGCGCTCCGTCCACTCATGTTTCAGGAGTGCTGACCCAGCACTGGCTCTTTTAGTCTTTTCCTCTAATTCCTTTCATTCTGCCATATACCTCTCAGGTACATCCTTCTTCTAGGAAACTTCTGAGAGTTCTTTGCACGTCTTCTGTATTCTCATAGCATACTTCCTTGGTGATACTCTAATTCTAAAATGATTTTCTTCCCTATTTGCTTATCCCATGAAACTGTAAGCTCATAAAAGGCAGGCGGTTTCTTAATTATATCAGTGTCTTCAGCTTTTGGCGCAGTGCTTGTTTGGCGTGGAGCTTGTACGTAGTGAACGCATGCTGACCTTGGCTCCACTGAATGTCAACAGGCTAACACCCAAGTCTAGCTGAGTGGTTCTCTAAGTCTGCAGTCCCCAACCCCTAGGTCGCAGACTGGTGCTCCTCAGTGGTCTGTTAGGAGCGGGGGGCCACACAGCGGGAGGTGGGAAGTGGGTGAGCGAGTGAATCTTCCTCTGTGTTCACAGCCGCTCCCTTCACTCACATCGCAGCCGAGCTCCGCTCCTGTCAGATCAGCTGCAGCGTTAGATTCTGACAGGAGCACGAACCCTACTGCAAACTGCACATGCAAGGGATCTAGGCTGTGACTCCTTATGAGAATCTAACGCCTGATGATCTGCGGGGGTGCTGAGGCGGTGATACTAGCTCTGGGGAGTGGCTGCAAATACAGATTATCATTAGCAGAGAGGTTTGACTGCATAGAGATCATAATAAATCAATTGCTTGCAGACTCATATCAAAACCCTATCAGTGAGTGGCAAGTGACAATGTAATAAAAACAGAAATAAAGTACACAATAAATGTAGTGTGCTTAAATTATCCCCAAACCATCCCCTCTGCCCTGCCCTGGTCTGTGGAAAACTTGCTTTCCATGAAACTGGTCCCTGGTGCCAGAAAGGTTGGGGACTGCGATAAGTGCTCTGCAGGCCTCCCCAGGGGCCAGCGAGACCCTTTCAGGATCTCTTTCAAGGGAAATCTGTTTTCGTTGTAATATTAAGATATGAGTTGTCCTTTTCACTGAACAGATATTTACACTGATGGTGCAAAACAGTGGTGGGAAAAACTGTTGGTGTTTTAGCAGAAATTAATACGGGTGACCCCAATCTATACTAGCGGTCATTGCACTTCATCACGCTCAGAATTTTTAAGAAACCGAGTTTCACTTAGGAATAACCCAAATGCAGCAGAACAAATTACTGATTTGTTAAAATTTGAGTAAATGTCCTCTTAGTATTCTGAGTAACAGAATGGGAGGTAGACAGAAAGTACTTCTGCTGTAAGGTAAGCGTCACTGTTTGAGTTGCAAGCTGAACTATCTGCTCTCATGTTGTAACAATTTTTACTTGAAAGAACAACTGACAAGCAAATTATAGTTATCCAGACTTGAGTATTTGGCTGAAATTTTTCTTGAAAATGAACAAAGTGAACTTAGAAAACAACTGACAGTATTTGTTGCCAATGATAAAATTCAAGCTTTCAAGAGAAAAATTAAAATATTATAAAAATTTGTAAATGTCACAGTGAACTTGACAGCTTTCCAATACTTGAAGACTTCTGATGAAACCAGTAATGCTACTAATGAGTGAGTTTTTGAAATTGCAGGGTGAAATGTGCCCATATTTATAAGATCTGTGTAACTCCATGAGGTTTTAAAACTGTATGTGTGTAATAAAAATACATTCAAATTTTAACATGGACAATGATTTAAATAAAGAGCATACAGAATATCCAATCTATGGCTCCACATTGCCAGTCACCTTAAAGATATTAATGCTTGTTGAGTTTTGGTATAGTATCAAAGAATATCTATAATTATCTAAGATGGCTATTAAAATAATCCTTTCTTTTCTAACTTCATATATATCTGAAGCAAGATTTTCTTTATCTATTTCAACCAAAATAACATGGTGTAGTGTATTCACTGAAGAAGCAGAGATGAGAACCCAGCTGTCTTCTATAAGCCAGTATTTAAAAGATTAGAAAAAAAAATTGGTACTGTTATTCTTCTCACCACGTTTTATTATTTTGGAAAATATAGTTATTTTTCATAAAATATATGGTTTATGTTAACATGTAGTGAGTTTCTTATTGTTGTTATGAAATAGGTTCATAGATATTTAAAACATTTCTCATGGCTGGATATGGTGGCTCATGCCTGTAATCCTAGCACTTTGGGAGGCAGAGATCGGAGGGTCACTTGAGGCCAAAAGTTGGAGACTAGTCTGAGCAAGAGAAAGACCCTTCTCTACAAAAAATACATAAATTATCAGCCAGTACTAGAAGTAAAAAAAAAAAAAAAATACATAAATTAACTGGGCGTGGTGGCATGCCTCTGTAATCTCAGTTACTTGGGAGGCTGGGGCAGGAGAACTGAGCCCAGGAGTTTGAGTTACAGTGAGCTGTGATGACACCCCTATACTCTAGCCTGGACCACAACGTGGGACCCTGTCTCAAGAAAATAAATAAATAAATACCCCAAAACACTCTCAAAACATTTCTCAGTTCTGGCTTCAAATATGGTAAATATCGGTAGATATAGCCCACATAAGCAAAAGTTCTTTGGGGTTCTCAATAATTTTTAGGAGTGAAAAGGGCTGCTGAGACCAGGAAGTTTGAGAATTGCTGACCTAGCTCACAGGGTACCTCAGCAGGGATGGGACACCACATTCCGGGGAGAATTAATGGTCTTTCATGGGAATGTTGCAGCACTCGGTTTACGTCTGCAGTACAACGCTTCCGCAGAGGAACATCTTAGTTTGCTTGCCTGGGAGCCTCGTGCCCCTGCACAGCCCATGCTCAGTGCTTACGGAATGAACAGGAGGAATGCATGAATGCATGAATAGGGTGCTGGTGTCCTTTTGCTCCCAGGTCTGTTGTCACTGAATTGTAGTGAGTATCCTGTGGTTCCTGTAGAGGGCAGAGCTGCACACATAGGCAGTCACCTCTACTACCCCTTTCAGTTGTACTGGAAGTTTCTGTGCGTCAGGAAGGAAAAGGGGTTGGTTGAGAATCTCAGAATTATGAAACTTAAAGGGACTTTCAGAAGTGCTTTTCTTTTGCCACTTTCTTCAGATTTTGGACATACAGTGAGCCTGGAAGCCATGCTGTTATGGTTACTTAACGGTCACAAGGGAGACCAAGTAAGAGCCTATGACATTTTAAGCAACTTTGGCGTATTTCCCAGGGCCTTGATATTAAAGGAGAGGGGGTGATTGTTGTTCTACAGCCACTTGGAAGAGTTTGAGCTACTTTAAGACAGATTCTAAATCCAAGGCATTTTTACCTTCCTGGGCCACGAGAAGAAAGAGCTGAATGTTGATTTCTCCAGGGTTGCAGGTTAACGGAATCTAGTGAGTCATCTGAGTTTCTCAAACTTGGCCTTGGACGAGGCCACCCTCGGGATCAGACACTGGGAGACTCAGACACTTAAAGATTTAAGGAACCCTGAAAGCTCCTAGGTCAATGCTTCCCGAACGTTTTTATGACAAGACATCCTCCAAAATGATGATCTATGTCCTCCCGAAGTAATCGTGTCTTCTTGTGGTTGGAGGTGATGGGCTTTAGGTGCCGTGGCTTATGCCAGATCCCATTAGTCACCCCGAGGGTATGGGGTAAATATCGCCCCACCTCTGCAATCCATTTGCTCAGGCTGGGATGCTATGGCATAGCTCCTGGGAAATTCTTTTCCAGTCTAAAGTGTCTTTGTGTGAAGAGGCTGCAATCTCATTGTACCCTATGTAGATTCCTCATGTGCAGCGAGAGATCATTAATAACCTTTCCAAGCATTTGGAAACTATGGTACCTCCAAATTAGACCAGATTACTTCTAAACCACTGGGGCTGTTTTCCAGGGTGTTAAACAGCTCAGAGATAACTCAAAACCATTGAGCTCTACTCCGAGCTCTTCTCTGGACCTGTTTTGGTCTCAGCCTTAAAGACTTCTCCTATGTAGTCCAGTAATATGGCATAGAGATCATGTCCCAAAATTTCTCACCACATCATCAACACAAGGTAGAGCCTGTGAAAACATGTAATAACCATTATTTCCACAGGGATGTTACGAATTTCTAGCCAAGCATAAAGGCAAAGGAATGACATTTTGCTTACCCTGTGGAAACTTGTTCAATGTCAGCACTGCCCCTAAATGCTACCATTATTTTGAAACAGTGTTAGGGTTATAAAAAAGTTGCAAAAGTAACATAGAGAATTCCTGTACACCTTTCACCCAGCTTTTCCTAATTGTCATCTTGCCTAACTGTAGTATGATGATCAAAACTGAGAAATTAGCATTGGTATGAGATTATTTTTAGGTAGTACTTAGGCTATCATTTTAAAAATATAATATTTAAACAAATATTTTAATATATGTATATTAGAAAAATAATAGGCATATCAAACCTATAACTTCATTGATTTTGTCCCTGAGCTTCAGCTTAAGCAAAAAGTTGATGTAAAATAAATTTTAATTAAAAAACATGAAAGTGACTAAAATTCCAGGTGGTATAGTGACAGGGCAAAATTAATTATGAAGGTATTATTTGAATGACTGGCACTTGGGGGTATGTGTCAAAGTAAATGTGTGATTTAGAAATTTTAAGAATTTGCCTCTTTCCCCTTACTACCTTGGTGGATGCTCTTAGGACAATGGCTCCCCAGAGTGGGCTTCCCACTTCAGGGGACCACTTCTGAGTGATTTGCATCCTCCATCTAATAGACTGATGATGGTCAAACCTAGAATAAAGTCCTTGCAAGTGGCCATAGCAAGTTTGAATTCTCTATAATCCTCACATTACAATGTAGATTGATGATTACGGTGGTGATGGAAGCTCGTGTTCTTCCGAAGACTGGGCATTGACAACAGCTTGGAAATATTCATACTAGCGGGAGATTTGAGAGGGAGGTGTAAATTATCCAGTTAATGGGTTTTCCCCAATATAAATGCAAAAACTGCTTCCATCTTCAGGTCACCATGTAAATCACGCTGCCACCTGGCAGTTTTACGTCCTCCCTGGTTCTGCGCAGAGATGATTACTAAGAACTCCAGAGCAAGGTAGCTATTTGAGAGGTTTAGATAGCCATGAGGGGTGTGCAGATGGCTAGCAGGACTCGTGTGTAATCTGGAGGGAACTTGCTGACCACATCTGCCTTCTGAAGTTCAGCATTTCCTCCTGCCTCAGGAGTCAGGGTCACTTTAAATAATTTGTAGCTCTTGAGACTCAGCCTTTTTATATCTCCTCCCTCCTTTCCCCTGACTCAGAGAATCCTGGTTTCCCAGACATGTTCTCATGGTTGGTGAGCGAAGCTTTGGTGAGACGTACGGCTTCAGTTAAAGTCTCCCCAACTTCATTGTCCTTATTGAGAGCAAGAACTTGCTAGATTAAATAATGCCGTCCAGATAGAGCAAAGGTGCTTTTTGGTACATGGCACACTTGGGAATTTTTCTTTCTAATCAGAATCTTCCTCTGGTTAGAGAAAGTGCCACTGGCTTTCTGATCCTTTTCCTTTTCCCCATTTTATTTTTTATATAAAATCTTCAATGTGAAGAGTAACAGTGATGAATAAAGGACCATTTGAAAGCTGCTACTCAACAATCTTCTGTATTTTTCTTGTTTATATTCACCTGGATTTCTAGCTGACTGCACATCATCTGGTTTTCTGAAGTGCTTTTTCCAAGTTCTGGGGTTCTCTGGAAGAACAGGCTAAGTATTCTGATTTCTAAATGTCAGAAACATAAACTGTAGTTAACTTGATCCTCTATTTCTGCATTGGCTTTTGTTTATTAATTTTTGTATTCTTTTAATTTTAAATTTCTATTTTTTATACCCTTGGAAAAGTTACTTAACTTCTCTGAGTTTCAATTTCCTCATGTGAAAACAAGTATGGTATTACCTACCCTCTCTAGTTAGGAATTACTGTGAAAAATACTCTGTAGATTGTGTAGTAGCATGTGAGAGTAAAGAATTTGTTATTATCATTCAACTTTAGAATTTTAGTTTATTCTTGATTTTAAAAAGGTAATTTAAGAATCTAGGCATGGATCTTGTGCAAATTATTACATCAGGGTTTTATCTGCTGAGATAAAGGCCCTGTCCCCTCCCAACCCCATTCTAGGTTCTGGGATAGAATGATAAATCTGTGATAACTGTAACCAGGTCTTCACAGTGAAGATGAAAAAATGATTTTGAAGTAAAATAATCTGGAAGGAAAACCCTAAATTATTGAAGGTTTGCGACATATTTATATTGTCTATATTTGCCTCAGGATTTCTTTTGTTTTATGTCTTGGGTTTGCCTATCATGTAACACCTGCTGGTACGACAGGCATAATTAAAAAATATATAACAGTAATTTGACCACTGAGCCACATGCTGACCACCTTGCCTAGAATTTGTAAATTTGCTGGCAATGTGTAATTTTTATTTTTATTGCCTCAAATAACAATAAGTACAGAATGAACATGACCAGAGGGAGCCGTCATCAGAGCAGGCTTGCGTGACGACTGGAGCTGGGACTCACGGCGTGGGGACCGCGCAGCTCCCCGCTGCTGTGGTGACGCAGGTGGAGGCTGTACCACCCTGGAGGCATGAGGGGCATCCGCGAAACTGGGTCATTTATTCATCTAACTTGGCAGGTGGGAGCCACGACGGCTCCACGTGGACCGTGGCGTCTCGCTAACCACCAACGCTGACACTGACGGGCCTGCTGGGCGATTTCACGCAGTCAGCTGAGAAAGTACCGCGCGGCTAGGCTTTGGTCTTGTCCCAAGGGGCCATTTGCAAAATATTTATTATTGGGATTGAGTGTACCCAACGAATGTCACCCATCTTTTCCAACTAACTTCAAAACCAACTGAGAGACAGAGGTGAGAGCTAGGCAGTTGGAAATGAAGATCTCATCTTTATTATTAATAAAGCTGTGCTGGGAGATATGTCTTAGATATGGTCAGTAAGCTTGCTTAGCATTCTTTTAAACTAAACTTACATCCCCGAGCATCAGGTCTCCTTGGAAACAGAGCTGGCCCTGCAGGCCCCCACGGAGCGCAGAGAACGGTGCAGAGAAGCACTTTCTTCGGGTGTGCAGACACCAACAATATATAGAGACAAGTGGAACGCGCCCAGCCCTGCCCGGCCAGTTCTTTCCCCACGTTCATCAGTCAGATCCATCTCCCTTCCTCCCATGAGGAGTGCAAGAGGAGAGAGAATGGTTGTGCCACCTTACTGGAGACTTCTTATACCTGGAAACACGGACCCTGGGGAAGGGAAGGGAGCTTCCCCACAGCCCAGCCGCACTGCCTGCCAGGCCGCACGCTAGGACTCCACCTCCAGCGTCGCAAGCACCACAACAACCGTAAGAAGTTAAGTGCTATTTTGGTAGTGCAGAAACTAAGGCTTCATAACGTAAACAGTTTCCCCACGTACACACAGCTAGGAGAGTGAGGGAAACAATTCACCCTTGAGTCTATCTGACTGAAAACCTCTGCTCTTACCCAGAGCTCTGTGAAGTCTCAAAGGTCTTAGGTTTAACGGCACTTTTCCCCTTAGCATGCACCCTGGACATGATGCTGTATCTCTCTATGTTCTGGTTTCCCTCTCTGCTCAATGGGAGGGCAGTTCCGGCTTAGATGAGAACTCTTATGGGAATAAATAATAAGGAATGGTTGTAAATTACAGTTAGCTAACATACATGTGGATGCCCAAGGAATCCACATATGGATGAAGGGTAAGAACTGACAATGTTGATAATAGAGTGTGCCCAGGCTCTTTTCAAAATTGTCTTTATCTGTGAGCTGACACATGCTGGATGAAGGAGGTTAGCCCAGTTTCCCAGAAAATGGTAAGTTGGGTCACACTGTGCTTGGAAGATTATTTCATTCATTTATCCATCCATGAAACACTTATAAGATGTCCACTGTGTACCAGGAGGCTTAGGGCTAAATTAGGAGGATGCTTTGATGGGATAGATAATGCTTCTATGATCCAGGACTATGAGGTTCTATGCATAGCCCTAGAAAGCAAGGTAGTTAAAGATTATAATATCTGCTCATCCACAGTGGCTTCTTGGCAGAGACACTTGCAGCTATTGTAACTCTTATCCTTTTCAAAGACATGTTCACTGCATTTGAGTTCCTATTGCATCACCATGATGAGAGATTCATTCATTAGTTCAGTTACGTGTTTCAACATGGCTCTGAAGCCATATGTTTATTTTTTAAGATTCTCTTTGATTGGGACCAATTGGACATTTTTGAGCTCAAAATGGTGGTGTCTGGGGGATGCTCTCACTCACTGGGTGGTTAGTGAGATTTGGCATAGTTACAAATATATTGTCTTTTTTCTATGCCAAATGCAAACATCTTTCAGCTATATACAAGAAAACTTTCTTAAAGTGATTTAGTTTGTGGGTGATAAGAATACCCTGATAAAGAAAGCAGTGAAAGTGCTTTGGATATTTAGATGGGACAGACCAAGGATCTGTGACTCATCCTGTTGGGAAGGTTTTCTTAGTGGGAACCCTAGAAGAGAAACAAAAACGATGAATGAAGGTTTTCCTGGCTTTGTCATAACCTTTTGCTGCTCTCTGTAGACAAAATGATTGTTCTGTCCACTTAGTGTCTTATACTTTTAAATTAGAATAATAATTACTACCAGATAAAGCCTAAAAACCCACTAGATTTTGCACTCATTTCTAATAGCATTCCTGACTTTCAAAGTTCTCAATCATTTCCACAATGTCTCGAGGCTAACAAAGCTGCCCTCATCACTATATCCAAAGTACCCTCCTTGATTCAAGTCCTAAGTGTGTGTTCCAAAATTGTATGCATTGGTCCTGATGTGGTTCATGTCGTGTCTTTCCTTCTGGAATGCTCTTTCCCCTTTTCTGCCTCCTGAAATACTAGTCATTCTGCAAAGAACAAAATAAGGCCATCTCTTTGATCAAGTCCCCCAACAATTGCCCTATGTCGTGCAGATATTCCTCATCTTTGAGTCCCATGGTTCTTGTAATATGACTCACATTATTTTATATCACTTAACTGTTCACTCTGCATTTATTTTCCCTCCCAACTAGATGGTAATTTTATGTATAGGAGGCACTATTTCTTGTGTGTTTTTTTGTTAGAGCCCTTGTCCTTGTTAGAGCCCAGAACAATGCCGTGCTCATCTTAGAGGCTCAATGAATAGTTACAGAATAAATGCATGAGTTCTCATCTGCTGAAATTCACTAAATCCTGAGCTCTGTTGTTGACTTATACTGGGAAGGGTTTTCAATGGACTGTCTTTTCCTTCCTCAATTTTCTGCATGATGGAGTTGAAAGAGCAAGGGCTTTGGTGTCAGAGAATCCACCACTTATTTTAAATGACCAAGGCCAAGTTTTATTCACAGCTGCTGAACATCCCTTGCCTCATCTGCATAGGAGAGATAGGGACTCTCCCACGAGAGCGCAGGAAATCATGTTTTAGGGAAGCTGGCACAGTGTTTGGATGGAGGAGATGTCTCGTCTGGCTGCTCTCTTGGACTCCACCCAGGGTGCACCCTGTCCTCTGCTTTCCCTCAGGTAGCACCAAGAGCCCTTTCCTTTTCTGTTCAGTGAGATCCTGATTAATGAAAGCTTTCTAAGGAAGCTCAGCTTGGTGTAAACAAAAACCTCCTCTAAATCTTGTGGAGCAGAGCTGTCTGGGTGCATTAGCATGACAAAACCACCCCGGGACACAGCAATTTGTCCCAGTCCAGTTGAAGGTGGAGCCATGTTGGCTCAGCAAAATGACCAAGTGTTCTAAATATATCTGGGTCAGCAGGCTCCTCTTTTTGTGCTTTCTGTCTTCCTTCAGCCCTCAGCAACCTCAATGGCTTCCCATCCACTCCACCACAAAAACTGAAGTATCTGTTATAATTACTGCCCTTTGATTAACTGATTATAGTTGAACGTGAATGAGTTTCTGCTAGGGTATTCCTCCAACTAGCAGTTGTATTTTAAGGCTCTTAAATCTATGGTGGAATTAGAAGCTATGTGCGGTGATAGAGAGCTCCAGCATCAGCAAGCAGAGACTTTCTGGGACAGGAAAATTCCAAAGGCCCAATCTGTTGGCTCTGAGGTTGACTTTGAACATAAACCAAATTTAGCCTTTGTAACGGGTAGGATATGCTGGCTCAGAGGGGCCACCTCTCTTTTTCTGTGGTGGCTGGGCTCCCTCCTCCTGGGGACATTTGACCTTGTCTCTGGTTCTGGAGCTTGTTTTGGTGACTGGCAGAGGGTGGGTGGAGATGTGAGTACCCTATTATAAGAGGGCTCTAGTGAGTGCCATTTCATAGGCCCCTTCCAGCCTCTGGGGGCCAATGTTCCCTGCCAGTGGTCCCCTGGAAGTCACCTCTTCCCTCCTTTGAGTGCTGATATCATAGCCTCATTCTAAACCCTATCCTCATCATTTTCTATTCTAAGACCCATAAATGCATGTTTTATGTTTTCCAATACATAAGATGCTATTTTAGTTAGCATTTCATTAATAGACTTTCTGTACTATAAAAATCACCATAAATCACAACAAGTAGAGTGGCGTGGCAGAATATTAGGCTAAGAAGCAGGAGGCCTAGGCTCAATTTGACTGCACAGCTAGCGCTGGTGCTCAGTACTTTCCAGGCCTGCCTCTGGCTGGCATCCAAAGACAGCCGCTGCCAAGCCTGAACCTTCACAGACTTTGAAGGCTTGTGTTCCAGCTCTGCCACTAGGTAACTGTGACCTTGGACAAGTACATTTACCTCTCTGGATTATGTATATAATGGTGGCATTAGAGCAGGTGAACCTAATGCCCACTGTAGCTGTCAATTTTCTGAGTCTATGTGCAGCAGACCTGCCTCTGGGAATTAATACTTCAAAGTAACATTTTCATATTGTAATAACCCTTCTTGTCTGATATCCTTGAACTCTTTTCTTTGTCTCTTACATTATTGCCATCTTTGTTAATAATATCTCTGGCTGAGAAAAGACCTGCGATGAGGACCGATGCTCTTCAAGAAGAGATGTTTACTGGAATTAGAGGTAGCCTTTTCCTCTTGGTTTCTCCTTGCTTGAATCATTTTCTCTCTTGATCCTTTCTTCTGTCTTCAGCAACTTTTTGACTTGCGTGTGTTATTTGTACCTCTTTGCCTATTTCACCCATTAATATAGCATTTGTGTTGGGGCTGTTGAGAATCACATCCTCACAGACTCCTTTAGACTTTCCTGATTGTCCACACGGGTGTTTTCCAGCCCAGTGGGTGTCAATCAGTGGTCATTTTACTGCTGCCTCCCCAAGGCACATTTGGCACTGACCAGAGACACTTGGTTCTGCAGGAATCCAGTGGGTAGAGACCAGGGGTGCTGATAAACCTCCTACAACGAATGCGGACACCACACAACAAAGAATTATTAGGTCCAAAATGTCAATAATACTGAGGTTGTGAAACCCTGGTAAAACCATATTTAATTCCATCAGAGCAGAAACCGAGTATATCCTTTTCCATTTGAACAGCATGTAGCACAGGGCTACACAACAAGAAAGGGGAGACATGACTATTACCCTTGGACTAACTAACCCCTGGGTAGGTGAACAGAGCTACCATGGCCAAGGGATAGAATTGAGTCATATGCCATCTCGCAAGCGGGAGGACGGCTGGGAAGGCATGACTGAAACCCCACAGTTATGACATTGTATGTGATACTCTGAAACATCTAAGGAGTGTTCTGTTGGGATATTTAGGCCAGTGCAGTAAGCCCAACAACCCTAAGGCAATCCAGGTGAGACGGATTCAAGAGGACGCTCCGCACGGCAGTGGCCACGCGGGCAGCAATGGCCTGTGAGGCATGGAGGTCCCTGCTGTGGGCAGCGCAGGGCGCAGAAGCCTTGAGTGCCACGGGATTCAGTTTGACAACAAAGTTTAGCGCAGTGTCAGGCCCTTCAGGGAGGTCGTTTGACATTCATTCTGCTTTATTTTATAATTCTCAAGTTAGAGCTGGTGATTCTCTATAAACCTGTGATAAAATATTCTAGAAAAATGCTTGTAAAACTGTAATGTGCATATGAATCATTTGGGGATATTGTTAAAATGAGAGACTCTTTAAGTCCTTTTGGAGTGGGGACCAAGATTCCACGTTTCTAACAAGCTTTAGGTAATGTCCATGCCACTGGGCCATGAACACACTTTCAGTGACAAGGTTTTCTAATGTTTAAGCTGGAAAGTATTTCTTTTCCTTTTTTCTTTTTTGAGACAGAGTCTCACTTTGTTGCCCAGGCTAGAGTGAGTGCCGTGGCGTCTGCCTAGCTCACAACAACTCATTCTCCTGGGCTCAAGTGATCCTCCTGCCTCAGTCTCTCAAGTAGCTGGGACTACAGGCATGTGCCACCATGCCCGGATCTTTTTTTTTTTGTATACATATTTTTTGTTGGTCAATTAATTTCTTTCTATTTTTGGTAGAGACGGGGTCTCGTGCAGGCTGGTTTCGAACTTCTGACCTCTAGCAATCTGCCCGCCTCGGCCTCCCAGAGTGCTAGGATTATAGGCGTGAGCCACCGTGCCTGGCTAAGCTGGAAAGTATTTTAAAGGTCATTGAGTGCAAGCCTGTATTTCACAAGTGGTGGAACTAAGGCCTGGAGACCCTGAGGCAGTTGCTGACGGAGCATGGTGAGCCCGCATCCAGGCCAGCACTGTCCCCACTCCCCTCCCTACCTCCCTGCCTTGCTGCACAATTTTTGGCAAGTCACTTCATGTTGCTGGGCCTTGGCTTTCTCTTTTTAAAAATGAGTGGGCTGTAGTCCCTGTGAATTCTGCTGTAGCCGGGGCTGTCATTTCCTCCGCGCCTCTGTCATTTGGATGCCGATGGTCACGCTGCCCATGGCTCCTTTTCTGCCACCTCTAAGGAAAGAGCGTAGGCAATGCAGGAAGCAGGGCTGGTGGGCAGCAGATTGCTGGAGACTTGGGGTGGGCACTGGCAGGGTACACAGGTGCTGTCTTCATTGGTGAGAGCCCCCCTTTGAGCTGGGCTCTAACCTTGTCACAAATGAATCTGGGCACCCACCGAGCTGGCTCAGGGCCGCTGCTGATGTGATGAGATGCACGGAGCTTAATGGGAACTGGCATTCCTCGCTGCTGAGAAACGAGGCAACGAAGCGAAAGCAGCGTCCTGCGGCAGTGAGCACACCCACCTGCCCTTCCGTGTGCAGCAAAGTTCTCGTTGAGTCCTGGGGTGGCACTTCTACCAATGTCGCATTGGAGGGCAGTGCGGACGGGGGGGGGAGGGAGGGAGAGGAAACCTGTGCCTTCATTCACTTGAACCTCTTCATTATTCACCTGCCGTAATGTCTTCCCTGGCATCGTGTTCTTTTTCAGGGCATTGTTGTAACTAACCAAAATGGTTAGCCTTGGGTACCCCTCTGGGAATTTCTAAGACATTTCTCAAAACTTATTTGAAAATGATTGTACCTCTTCTCACAGGATGGTTATTATTGCTAAAGTTTCGTCTCCCTCCTGCATGCGTTCTCACCATTTCCTCTTTGCTCTCCTTATCCATTCAGTGAAGTCATTTCTAAACCTTACAGGGGGCGGGGGAGGAATACATATTTTAGGCAATAAAGACCCATTGTTTTTCACAGGCATTTTCTCTGCAGACAGTTGCAGGCATCAGACAATAAGTCTCCTTTGTATCTCTTTAAAGCATTAAGGAGGACTGCTCCTTTCATTCCCGTTTAAATAATAGCAAGACTGAAACATAGCACTTTCCCTAAGTCCACTCCTGTTGGCTGGTGGGCAATGGACCCCCATCAAGAATAGAAGTCCAGATGCTCTGTGATTCTCCACCCCAGTGAGGTTGCTCCCAGTAGTACATTAGGCCGAAGTCCAGGGGTGGGAGATCGGTGTTCTCTAACAAAATCAGAACTGTGAGAGCTGATTAGACGCATGCAGTGGAGCCGGAGCAGGTAAGGAGTGGCAGAGAGGTCAGCTAGGTGCTGCTGCTCTCTGGGGCCTGTGTTTCAGGAGCAAGAAGGCACTCAGCGAAATGAAAAGGTAACTCGTTTAGTGTAGATGCAATCCATTACTAATCTGTGGATCTCAGGGCTCCTTGGAAGCATGGGGGCCAGCTACATACACAGAATGATGAATTTTGTAGGTGTTGGCACAATAGATTGGGATTTGTGGATCCAGAGGTCTGTGCCCACATTTCTGCCACTGTTATCTGCAATCAGATGCTTTCAACGAGAATTCCCTGGGTGACTACTATGGGCACAAAACAGTCCTAGACACAAATGGTTTTGTTTCCCTGGAATCTGATACATAGTAGGTACTCAGGGTAAATTAGTGGAATAAATCAATATCTGAGTGAATTAATGTATGAGCTAAGGCAAATAAGACCTGTTCCTTACCCTCATACAGCTTTCATAAACATGCAATCTGTAGAAAATTATTTGTCACCTTCTTGTGTCTCATTTTCTCCACTTCAAAAATAAAAATAAACTAGACCGTTACAGGGCTAAGCTATCACCTCTTCCATTTCCACACTTGGATATGTAGAAGTGCTTACCTACGAATTACTATTGGATGTTTAAGTAGAAGGTCTTCACACGAGCTGGACTAGCAGTAACATAACGAAGTGCCTTTGTCTTCGTTCTGGCGGTATTCAGTGTGCAAGTATTAACAAAGACAAGACGCAGCCCCCTTCCTCCTTGTCATGGTGCTTTGACCATCCCAATCCGTCATCCATTACAGGGAAGGGACAGGCGTGAGTTGTTTGGGATTTGGGGCTTTCCTGCTTATGAGGCGCATGCACTCTGTGTTGTTTAGGTACAGGAGCGTCGTTTCAGTCTCTTTAAAAAACCCTAATATTTTTTGAGGTGACAGGATGTTGCGGAAAGAGAAGAGCTTGTGCTTTGTACACAGACAGATCCTGTTTTCGAATGGCTTCTGTGGGTGATTTCTTTCCAGTTACTTGACTCCTCTGAGTCTAAATTTTCTTTTGATACCTGGGAAGTGTAGAACTGGTAAAGCGCCTAGCACATGGCCGTTGCTTGATAGTTCTTATTCTGATTGTTATTTCCGCCAGTGCTTAGAAGCAGGTTTGTATATGTCTTAGTAGGACACCTAAGGTGATGTGTGGTAAAAGCAAGATACAGCAGGATAGGTATTTTGTCCATGATTCCAGGATGTTAGAGCCACTCTAAAAACTGTCTTTAAAAATGTAGTGTGTGATCCGTTGTGCTTTATGAACTAACTGAAAAGGACTCTTTTCCTGGAGAATCTGACCAGGCTAGGTCACTTGGAGAGGGAGAACACCCATATTGGAACATCTCCCTCATCTTTTTACCCCTTCTTACTCTAAGCATGAATATCCAATAGCACTTATAAGTCTACTTGGGACACGCATCTGCAAACATGTGTGACTCCAGGTCTTAGAGAACAGCTCTGTTGGCATGGTAATAGTTCACACCTGTTGAACACAGGCAGTTTGCTAAGCGAGTGCTACAACAGCTAACCAAGGCAGGATACAAGGTGGCTTGCAGAGAGGAATTAATTACATTAGCTGTTTTTCCTTGAGGGCCTTTGGAATCCAGTCCCAGCTGGGACCCAGCCATCCCCCAGTTTGCATTCAGAAACCTTGGTGGCATTCTGAATTACTGCTTCCAGACTACTACTTTGAATGTGCTGTTGAAATTATTATTTTATTGCAGAGATGAGACCATGTTGCTGATATATGTGCGCTTTCCTCCTGCTGAGTGGGCTTAGGGGGTGTTGGGGTTATGAGAGGGCGTGCAAAGATTAAGGCCCCAGATCACAAGGTCATCTGAAGGAAGCCAGGGGGTGAGGACGACAGGGTGGGGATGACAGACGGCCATCATTCCTCTCAGGCAGCTTCATTTGCTTCCTGCATGTCTATACTTGGCGATCAAGTCCAAATAGAAGACAGTAGTCGGTAGTAGAAAAGGCAAAGTGAGTGTTCTTAGCCAAGATAAGCATCAGGGGAAAAGAATCGATTAGATTATTTGTCTTTGTTGGCATGTTTTTAGAATT